CGAGGAGGTAATTTTCTATCGATCATCCTGTTTTCTCAAATTGGCGACCGGCCACATTGATTCGCTCGCTCGGCGCGTTCACTCGCCTCGCGACTTTCCCAGATTGCTCGCGACAAACATGTTTTCGCTCGGCGATCGCAAAAAATAACGGGGGAGTAAACTTAGACTCATTTAGACCCGGTACGTTGCTTTGATTCGGACACGGGTTTCGCACAAGTCGGCGATAAAAGCTGCACGTTTCGCGCATTCCGCGACGCGGCGCGGCTTCCGCTCGGTTCGCGCTCGCGAGATTTCTTTTGTGCGCCGTCAGAAATTGTACCTTAATGTAGCGCATCTGATTTAAGCAAGAACTGTCAGGCCGATCGTATGCCGAAAAATTTTTTCTTCTTCTGGCACGCGAGAAAATTCATGCAAAACTGACGTAATTAAGAAATATAATATTTTTTAGATTAAACCCGACACGTGATACTTCATTGTTTGCTGAAAAAAAACCGCGAAGTGTCCTTCTACCGTAATCAGCCCTTGCCACAGCAAGCATTTTAAGTTCGCTCCTTCTATGCGTGATGCGATGACTAACAGAAATCCCACAATGACACATTCGCACGATCGACGGCACTTAACGCTGACGCAGAGTGCCACATCGCGCGAATCGCACAATATGGATTTCATAGAAGTTTGAATAAAGACAGCTTCTTGTAATTTGAAAAAAAGGCATATAATTATCTGTATCTAAATTCTCTCTGACAAATTCAAATAATCTAAAAATATTATAACTAGCAAGAAAAACGAGCATACAAAAATATGTAACAACTAGTTAGTCGGATTACAAGAAAGAGCTTTTAAAACATCATAAGATTGCATATTCTACGAGGGCTGAATATCACACGGCGGTGACAATGTCGCGATATCAATGTCGCGCTATCGTGACAGGTGTCGCGTTAATTATTAGCGGCGCTTTAAAACGGGTCGCGCTGAGCAACATTCGCGATGAATTCGGAAAATGATGTCGCGAAAGGTCTCACGGCAAGGTCGATCGTCCGGATTGTACTTAGCGGTTTATCGAAAACACAGTTAAAAAAAAAGAAAGATCGAGCAAATTTACAATTTATAAAACAAGTCGGAATAGCGTCTATAATTAATCCCTGAGTCGGTTTGCATGATTTCCGTTTGATGAATGGAAATACCAGAGAAACCAAGTACACAGGATGCGTCGAGGTATTATCCCTTTGATATTTCCGTTTCTCCAACCTTCTAATTTTACTTTTATCTTGCATAATGACGATGATGCAATGCAAAGGTTACAAAATAAGACATTAGCGGAATATAGAAATTCCACGTCTCCTCAATTCTAACTGATCGACTCTATAATATCAGTTAAGCGATAAAAATACCACGGAAATATCGTGACATTTAAACTCCCTTCGTATTTCCATTTAATTGATTTTAAATTTATCTTGCGCAACGAAGATTAATTAATAACATATGTAATAATATAGTATACACGAGCAAAATAAGAAAAAAACGATCAAAATCAATTTTTCGATTTGTGCGAAGCAATGTCTATTCAACTTTATCATCATTACACGTCTCGCGACCTTTGAACTCCTTTTTCTCTACAGCGCAGGTATATTTATCGACAATATTTCCTCGGCAGCGAGCATGTTAAGCATGCTCTACCATGATGCGGCCGAACTGACACTCGCCCAGCTGCCTACGTCGTCGTCGCGCGAGGCACGCACGCACGCATACACGTGCAAGTCTCGCATTGCGTTGTTCGGAGGAGAAAAAAGATCCGGCGTGCTACCTGCGCCTGAAACTGCCCCGGCAGGCACAAAGAAACGAGCGGCGGCGAGTAGTAATGGCTCGAGAGAGGAGCCGGGCCAAGGAGCACGCGGCGACGAGAGAGAGAGAGAGAGAGAGAGAGAGAGAGAAGGAGAGAGAGAGAACGGACGACGGCGAGAGATCTCGAGAGAATTACGCGCGGCGGGCCCGATCGAGACACGTAAGAGACGAGGCAACAGAAAAAGCACCGAGGACTGAAAGCAAGCAAGAACGAAAGAAAGAAAGAAACGAACCGCAGCCGATGCGTTGCGCACGGGAATGTATATATAGCCGATCCCGTCGTTCTATCTCTCTTTCTCCTCTCCTGCTCTCTTTGTGCATCCACCGCGGTGTTCTTTTTTTTTTTTAAATGTCGTTTAAATGACCGAGAGAACTTAAACACGGTACAATGGCCGGAACATCGATTAAATGTAAATTTATAGTGTGATTATATGTCGGTCATTAATTAGTTATTAAAGATCGTGTCGTACGTCAAAAGCCGCACGCAAATCAACCTTCGAAGCGTAATCAAGATTCGTTGAAAAAACGAGACAAAAAAATTAGATGGAAAAAAAAATCGGTGAGAGTTGCGCAATTAGAAAATAATCAAGATGTATTTTCTCTTATCATTTTTCTTCTCTCGTTCTTTTTTTTTTTTTTTTTTGGTGTATAATTTGTACATCTATTTTTATGCGACTTTCCCGGAACACCGCGTCGCTATCTGTTAATTGTAACTGTTTGTCGCTTTTGTATATTATGATTGCATTTTCTCTCCTCCGCGCGATTTCTGTTTAGTCATACTCTTTCTGACGGGGGCTTACCCCGAATAACAAATAGATTCCTTTCTCTGTCTCGCCTTCTCTCGCCGCCTCTTTCGTGCGCCACGGCCTCCCTCTCTCTCCAGTCTTCTCTCTCTCTCTCCCTCATTTTGTCTGCTATCACAGACGGCTGTCACTGTTCCACTTTACGGGAGCGCGATTTCCCGAGATATCCTCTACCTACTATACTACTACACGCCACCTCCGCCGCCTCCTCCCATCTCTCTCGACTACTCACCGCGGTATGCCAACCTTCCACTCCACCATATTTCTCTCTCGCGTGCTCGCACGAAGCAGCGACGGCGGCAGGAGGTGGCGGTGGAGGTGGATGGATCCGCGCTGCGGCCCCCACGAACGCCCACGAGAGCACGTATACAGGCGGTTTCAGGAGGATAGGTCGATACTTCGGGAGGCAACGCTGCGTCGCGGGATCGTCGTCGGCAAAATCCGAACAGGCACCGAAGACTTTTCCTTTTATCGCGAAATCTCGTTAAGCCGACGAAACTTGATGATTCTCTTGTATTTTAAATTGGCATCGTTATTGAAATGAAGTATATGAAGCGTAGATAAGGTATACATGAAGTATGTATTATGTACAAAGAAGTTAAATATGCATGATGTTTTTACGCTTGTCCGACTCTTACGACCTCGGCTCTGCCGAATTAATACATTCATACTGTCGTTATTAAATCACAGAATGCTGCAAATAATATAATAGAATAAAAAGTATTTATTAGTAAATTTTAGCGCGTTACCCATCGCAAATGTTCACACGCGGCGATTAACGTTAGGTATTATTAGTATATACATGAATGCATCTGAAAGGATAAAATGTTTGCGCTGGAAAAGCTGAGAAATCCGCAGAACTGATAAGATAAAAGCAGAATGACGACGTTGCTATTGCGAATAAAAAAAAAAAACTATTGAATAATGCATATCTAATTTCGAATAATTTTGTAACTGTTTGTAGAATATAATATCTCTAAACATCCTGACGCGCGATGTAGATTAAAGTAAGATTAAAAAAAAAAAAACAAGAATTACCATAACGCATGCAACATTAGTAACATTACGAGTGATAACTCGATGAATGATCGCGGCTTAATGAATGGCCAGCGATCACGATAAAGTGTAACATAAAATACACGCGATATTTGTATGATGTCAAAAAGTGGACTTGCGAGACTTGCATTTTCTCATCTCTTTATCATCTTCTCGAGTATCGACTTTCCGTCCTGAAACACCCGGTACACCGTACACCGGGCATGCATGCACCGTATAGCCGTTCTTTTTCCGTCCCTCTTCTTATACCTCTTTCTCCTTCTCGCCGACGCACGTCCAAAAGTGCACCGGCACGAAGGACGAGCCTGCTCACGTTCGCTCTCCACCCGGGTCTCTATTCTGCCTTCCCTCCTGCCACTCCCCCCTCCCCCCCTCCGCTCGTCCCTATCTTCTTCTTTGCCCTCCCTCTCTTTCTCTTCTTTCTTTACAGAACGGAGCATGGGGCGAGGTCCGATTCGAACGCACGTTGCTCGTGGGAAAAATAGAAGCGACGCGAATACGGGAGCGAGACACCGCCGTCGCGACGCGCCTCTCTTCCTTCTATCTCCGACGTTGCCGAGATAGCACTGCTTTAGAGATTTAACGCGACTCACGCGCGCGCGCGCGCGCGCGCGACGCAAAACGACGCGAGGTATCACGAATGCTTCAGCTGAGCGATAATTCTCCGTGACTCACCTACGTTTCTTTTATGCTTGTGTGCTTTTTTTCGCTCGAGTCGCCAATGTATCGTTTCGTTCCGAGCACAAAGAACGTGAGATTAGTGAAGAAAAACGGCTGCTTAGTGAAGAAGAATTCTGCATTTCGTTACTGTATTTGTTTTTCGTTATGAAAAAGAAAAGTGATGCCGTGGTAGATTTATCTTTTAAATGCATCTTTTCACGAATCTTTTTCGCTAAATGTACATCTGTTTTACAAATACTAAACGTGATAAAGTGTAGTTAAAAAAAGCAGCAATTTTTCATAATATTTATTTTTTATAAAATAACATGTACATATTTCCTCTTCACTTATTCGCTTCTCCGTATTTGTTCCGACTTTAAGAAAGTTGGAAAAGAATTCCGAGAATTCTTTCCATGAATAGAAACTCATATTATCAATGAATATTATCAGAATCGGATTTCGATACATGCTCCACATATGCGAAGCAACGCTTCCACTTTTTTCGATACAAAGACGCGTCTGTCATTTGAAGGTTAGCTTACCTCTCGTATTTACATTCCCCGAAATTACATTCGATTTCGCCGCGGCGACCGATCCTTTCTCTCGGTCGCGATAAAAGAAAGAGACAGACTCACTCACCTCTCACGATATAGTAAACAAATCCGCTCCTTGGCGACCTTCAGCTTCTTGGAGATGATTTTCTTGAGGTTTTCCACGGTGTCATTGCGGTCCACCGTGATCTCGAACTGACCGCCGGTGGTCGGCGTGATGCACACGGTGATCTCGTCCTTGTCGGTCGCAGTGGCCGCGACGCAGCCACACCCTGGCTGCGACGCCGGCGGTAGCAGCGGCTGCGGCGTCGTCGCCGTCGTCGAGCAGGAGGTAGAAGTAGAAGCAGCGCATGGCTCCGGGGACGCGACCCTTATCGAGCCCTGATCGCGGCACTCGACGGCATCGGCGACGATGGCGGCGGCTGCGGCATCAGCGGGGCTAGGGGCGGCGGCGGCGGGGGCACCGGTGGCGGCACTCGATTCATCGCCAACCTTCCGCACCTGCGAGGAGGTAGCCTCGTCGCTCTCACTTCCCATCGCCGCCACGTCCGACGTTCGCGGCGGTCCCGCGGTGTCGTCCATTCTGCCGTGGCGTTACGTCAATCGGCACTGTGCGCGATGAATAACGAAATACCGAAGGGACGACGTCAACTGCGACACGACGACAACAACCACGACGTGAACCGTTCACTCGCGCAGCCACAACTACTCTCCGCCGCGCTACGCTCTCGCGTGTGTGCCCCTCCGCTTTCTTCTTCACTTCTTTCCCTCGCTCCACGGTCCCACAGGTTCTCCCTCTCCCTATGTGTTGTTCGTCGCCGCGGCGCGTACGTCGTCGTTGCCGTCGTCTATATGCATGCACCTGCACCTGTGCTCCTCCCGGCGTCACCCCGCCGCTTCTTTCCCCCCGCGAGCGTCGACGAGGGCACAGCCGGCACCCCAAAGAGAGCGGCGGTCGCGGGGAACGCGCACGCGGCGAAGAGGAGGTGGCGGACGACAAGCGGTGGACGAAATATTACGGTGGTTGGGGAGGGGAGAGCGCAAAGGAAACGAGGGAGAAAGGGTGACAGGGACAGGAAGAGGAGTGTATACGAAACGACGAAGGCGGATTTGCACGATCCGTGATGTACGGAGATGATCGTCCGTAAAACGAAGAGACGTAGCACACGATCGATAGCACCGGGCGATAAAGTATTCGCGAAACCCGCTAACCTCGAGAGAGAACACTGGTCACCGCTCCTTTCCTCCTCCTCCTTCTTGACGGCACTGTGTGACACACCATGTACACCGCGACAGCTCTCCCTCCTCCTCCTCCTCTCGTTTCTTCTTCTTTGCAAAGCGGCGATGCTACCTTCGGTGTGTCCGTTCGTTCTTTCTTTCTTTCTTTATTTCTTCCTTTCTCTCTATCCTCTCTCTATCCTTCTCTCTATCCAATGCCGTTTCTCTTCTCTTCTTGCCTTTTCTTGCCTTTGTGCGCGAGTCCACCTCTCCGTCGCTTTCTCACGCCGCACGCACACGCCACGTATATACGGCACGCAAACGTAATGCACCGCGACCCGCCCTCGAGCGCTCAAACCCTGCGACTAGCAATCGAAAACCGGAGCTCCCGGAGCTTCTGCTAAATGCCCAGACCCGGCGGCTGCCGAACCCGTTCTACTGTACGAGCGAATGCGCAGCTGGAGCAGCACGATGCCAAACGAGCGCGGTTTATTTGAATTGCGCATAGTCACTCGCGGTCAATTTTATTTCAATGGCCAAATTTCAATTTTAAATTCCCGAAAAAAAATCTGTCCCTGATAGAAATAAATATTTATGTTCTTACAATTAAAATTTATGCCAATTTAATATTTATTTCGCATTGTCTCCGTCCATTTTCTCCTTATGTCACGAACTTAATAAAAAGAAAAGAAGTAGCAGTTGTGTTTAAGGCGAGGGAGATTCAAAGTTCAAAGAACGAAGTAATAAATCCGATTGGCTAAGAGGAGAGCAATATCCAAATATGGAATTAACGCGATTCCAAATATGGCGTCTTAGTTATCCACCCCTTCCGTCTATTGTCAAAACCCCACCCCTCCGATAAATGCTATCTTATGTTACTTCTTCCTCTATGGACTTCGGCTCTAAAATTTATATATTTACACCTTTGATCTCTTGTTAAACATGTTTTTGCTACATTAAAATTTATATAAATTATTTCATTAAATACAAGGCAAAGTCAAAAAATAAAATTACTTTCTATTTATAAATATTTATAAATATCAAACTTGTCTTGAAATTACTAATTTCCAAATTAAATTGCTTGGCAACTAAACGTAATAGGTAATATCTTAAATTAAACTAGTAATAAATTTAAAAAACTATTAATTATTTAGGCACCTCAAATTTAAATTACAAAAGCTCTTTATTTTTCATAAAATATCTTTATACTTAATAACCTGTGTGAATTAAGAATTTAAATATTTTACTATATCAAGGAAGTAAAATGACATTATTATTCGCTCAAACTGTAAACACAGATAAGAGGAAAGAGAATCTGTGTAATTGTGGAAGTATTAGTACAATTAGTTTCTCTCAAACCATGTTTAATATATACTTAGATACTTATATATGTGGCTGATTTGAATTTTCTCTGAATTTACAATAAACATTTTTCGTTACAACGTTCTGTTATTGTCCAACAATTTCATATAATCTTGCGGCTTGTCATATCTGTTCTTGTAACATTGTTGTCTGCACATAACAATATTAATGACACTCTTATAAAACAAGTCCTACAGTAAATCTTGTCATGTACACGCGCGTGTGTGTGTGTGT